ATGCAATCACTAAATGGAAAATTAATTTAGTCTCTTTAACAAGCAGTGTGTGATTTCACCTCTTCAAGAACCATACGATTATAGGTTGTGAAGTAGCAGGAAGTCATTTGCAGTCTGATGCTACACAGATTTGCTGAGTTTAATAGCCTTCAGTCAAGCAAGTTACAAAGAACTACATCTGGGTTAGACTGAACGTTCACAACAAAACATTTTCAGCATCACAGAGACCTGAAAAGCTAGTGTGTTTTACAAAATATTTATCTCTCTTCACTCTACAGTACCCATACTCCTGCCTACCTATTCAAGTCATGGTTTCTTATCCACACTGTGAACTGGCATTATAATGATGCTCCATAGCTGATCAGATTTGGTTATGTGACAATATAATCAAACAAAGCATTACCTCACATCTTGTAGGTGCTCGTAACATTTGTAGTTCTGGTACTCTCATGATACTAGGTGATAATAGTAGAGTAGACAGAATTGTGGCCCAGCATTATTGCTAGCGGGAGAGGAGTGGAGGAAAACAACCTACGGCATATAACAATATATGCACTATCTTTCTCAACACCAACAATTATAGAGACTGTCAAGTACAGGGTAAAGAGTATGGGAGGTATATGGCAGAATTCATTATTACCCTGTTTCCTCGAAAATAAAACCTGCCTGGCATGATTTTTTCAGGATTTTTGTAGTTGCTCGAAATATAAGTCCTACTTAAAAATTAAGCCCTAGTTACAGTTCACGATTTAAAAAAATCATTTTAAATACTGTCCAGACAGCCATACATAAGCCCTAACACATATTTTGGAGAAAAAAGGAATATAAGACCCTGTCTTACTTTTGGGGAAACAGGGTATTCAGCCATATGTTGGATTTGGGGGGGGGGGTTCACACAGAAAAGTTACAGGTCTTGCTAATGGCACATATTATTTTGGTGTCGGGGGTGGTGAATCAATTCTGCATTTTGTTCAAAATTTGAAGGTGCTGTCCAAAGTGCTGAGCCTGTTTTGGAGATAGGGTATGGCACCAGCTGACTGAACTGTACTTAAACTCAATATTTATTTTTGTAACAACTCACTAATACCTGACTAACTTTTAACTCTTTTTGTAATCTGGCATGACCCTCATATCTGCAGGACAAGTATCTGCTGTTTCATTTATCCACATCTAACAAGATATGTCATCTCTGGGCATTTTCTAAGTCCTCACGTACTATTCTATGATATTGGTAGACTAGATTCCATCATTTCGATAGAATTCACTACAATCGATGATTTCATGTATCCACACAAAGTCCAGGAACATATCCCCTGCAGATTTATTGTTGTGCTGTTCTTTCCCAGTTCTGACTTGTAAAGAAATCAGGGATGTGAGGGTGATCTAGCTGCGACATCTTTCACCCCATTAATCGCCAGGGTTGATTTGGCTGATCTGGCTGGCTAGGTGGGTGTCCCCTTCCTCCCTCAGCGCTCCATGTGCGTCCCTCCTAAAGCTGCGTGTTCGGCGGAAGAAGGCGGAAGTCCCAGATATAAAAGGAGTGTACCAAGGTCTCCAGTCTTCAGTCCTGTGTATACGATAGCCGCACTCCCCTGCTAGAACCTCCAAACAGAGATGATAATGCTATGATAATACTAGATCATCTGATCTAGGCAGCGTCTTTGTTCCCATAACATCTTTTATTTTCTTGTTTTCTTTCCCCATGTGAATGTGAAAGAGATCACTTGGCAGCTTTGCAAATCCTGGTAATATAGTTATGGTCCCCCAGATTAAAATTTACATAATGGAGACCAACATGTGTGCCACATACTGGAAATACCTGTCATATGAGACACATAGATTAAGGTTTTGGTTTTTTTGTTATTTAAAAAACAAAACAAAAGCTAGTATAAATAAACCTCTCTGCTCAAATCAGCAAATAATCTCACTAGTGAGGATCATGTGAGCAAGGAGGCTGAAGGCTACAGCTAAGGCAGAGGATGCGTGTCTGAATTCAGTCCAGGCCCTCTAGACACAGAGGTGCCTCCAGGACCCTGCAGGCAAAAATAGAAAGGTCAGAGGTAAAAACAAAGCAATCCAAGCAGAGCAGTTGTAACAGAAGTCTCCAAGGACTTCCTGTTTTGTTCATCTGTGTACAGGCTGTGTGTCTGCAAACAGGCTAGCAAAGCAGTTGACGACAGCAAAGTGCTTTCTGGTGGTACAGAAATGTCTGGTGCTTTTTGCAGTCGGGGTAACTGAGCTGAGAAAGCTGCAGGATAGAATTCTGAATGTTAGCTGCTGAAAAGAGAATATTCTCTGATAAGAAACTCCATCCCACTCTCCTGAACTACAGCGCAAGAGCTTCATAGCAGAGAATTTAGAGTTCTTTGGCAAACTAAAAATTCCAGGATTCTATAAAACAGAGCTGTGACAACTAAATTATCAAATTGCTGCCAATGGCTTATGTAGGCAGATAAGCTGAGATGGCTTCCCAATTTGGGTCATTGGCTTTATGCCAAGAATAGGAAATGGAAGACCTGAAGGACTTCCTGCAACTTACAAGAGGTAGTAATTCCTTCTAGAATGTGCAGCCTTTGTTCTGAACAGCCCCCATGGTCTGTGTACATATTTGGGTAGGGGCTTCATATGCCAGTATATCTCATTTGTGGATATCAACAATTACACTACTGGCCTAGTGTGTATCTCCATCATATAGCTATAGCATTTTGTTATCACTTTAATTTTATGTCTCTATCCTATGGATTCCTGGCATTTCTAATTGGTGAGCTACTTAGGATTAAATAACTTTAGTCCATGAGAGTGACTGTAACAGGGTTGATTCTTTACAAGTCCTAAGTACCAGCTGTAGGAGTATACCATCTAAGAAAATTAATGGTCAATGAAATCAAATCTGAAGTGATTTGACATCCTTGAATACTTCAAGATGGAGCAGGTTTGTGGAAAATAAAGCAAATCTGTTTTTTACTGCTCCAGAGGGTAGAACCTGAAACAAAGGAATAAAATTATAAGAAAGGATATTTGCAACAATAGGCTGATAGAAGGAATAACAAGTATGGACAGCCAAGGCCGTGAGGGACAAGAGATACACACACCCTCACACACAAGGCAGGACAGTGCGGTGCCACCACTGTATATTAAATATTTATTTGTGGCCACCAAATATTTATTAAGTTTTCTTTTGCTGCCACATTCTATTGTTTCACCTGCTTGCCAGAATGTTTTTTTTTAAATTTTTATTATTATTATTGTATAATACATAGAAACATACCATCTTTGAAAATAACATTCAAAATACCAGTTTTTTCCCCAATCCCGCCACCAACACCCCCCTCCCCCCCCGGGAACAAATAAATACTTTAGCTGTGTTTATTACAATTGTTCAATCATGAGAATAGTTGCCAGAATGTTTAAGAAGACACAAACTCTTCAGGTGAAATAAAACAAGAATATGTTGTTTATTTTGTTCTTGAACAGTAAAGATGTGTAATGGTTTCAATAAATTAACAGGCTTTACTTTTACAGAGAATGGTTCTACAATTTGAGTTTCTTAAAAGCAGTGTTCCAGACACAGGAATACAAACAGGTTATTCTGAACCTTTTGAATCCTCTTTCCACACCAGCCCTCAAACACTATAGAGGCCTAACTATATCTCTTACTCCTTCTCCCTGAAGGCTTTAACTATTTTCCTCAAACAGTTATCTTTTAACAACAGTTCCCAAAACTCTTTCTTCCTTCCTTCACTTTCAAAACTACTAACTAACTCTTTAAACACCAAACTCCCAACTAACAATTATGGCTGCCTTAGCTCCTTCCTTTCCCTTTGGCTCCACCCATCTCCAGTTGCTAAGCAACTCCCTCCAATTTCAGCAGTCAATCAGACCCCATTTCCAGCTATGTAACTGCCTGATTGCTCCATCCCCCTGCTCTCCTCAGCTTTTCCAAGCCAGGGCTGTCTACCGCCTTTACACCAACCTTGTAAAGTAGGCCAATCTGTTACAATATTCTAACTAAATTTTAAGAAGAAATTTTCAGATACTAAAAGTTGCTTGATCGGTGCAGGATCCTCTTTTATTAAAAGTTTGTGAACAGAGGTCAAATGGGCATCTTTTACTGTAGTCTAGGATCTTTTAAGTAAAAAAGTATATAGATGAATAAGTTTAAAGATGTCAAAGATATAAGGATCCAACTGGATATGTAGCTAGTGGCAAAGTCAGTAACATTAAATGCCCTAAAGCCAAAAGATCCCATCTGATCTTGGAAGCTAAGTAAGGTCAGCCTTAGAGAGTACTTGGATGGTAGATTGCCAACCAAGTACACCATGTAGGTTTTATTTCAGAGGAAGGAATTGACAAAACCATCTCTGAATATTCGTGGCCTAAGAAAACCCTATGAAACCCATTGAGTCACCATATGTCAGTGACTCAAAAGCACATGCACACACATAATACAAGCTGGGTGCTCAACAAAAAAAATACTGTTTGAATGCGGAAGGCCCCTTCTATTAATCTGAGTTCCATAAACCTCATCTGCACTTCAGTAGGAATTTAGAACAAGTGATCAGTTAATGAGTCCTAATGAATTGATAACTTGCTATATGGCCTGTCTGACATGGCTATTCATTTTTCATAATTTGTTTTTAAAATCCTAAAAAGGCTGCTCTTTCAGAATATTGATCTGTATGTCATCTCCTAATGGTTTAATCCAGAGGTCACCTACAAATATCTGTATGAATTCAGCTATTGTACTGCCAGGCTGGCATTCTCAAATGATTTATTGCAAAGCTAAACATCATTTCAATATAGTAAAAGTTACTCAGTCACAAATCTGACTCAGAGAATTTAATTAAAGCTTCATTGTGCAAATTAATTGAAAGGGCTTCTCTTTTTATTTTTCTGAGTGACTTTCCCTGTGCTGTTTCATAACCTGTCCTTGTAAATACGACTCATTCATTGATGATATTTTCTTGTTTCCTTCCCCTCCCCTTTTTTCCCTGCTACAGGCAAATGGTTTAACTATGGAATCATATTTCTTGTTTTAATCTTGGATTTAAACATGTGGAAAAATCAAATATTTTATAAGCCACATGAATATGGACAATATATTGGTCCTGGGCAGAAGATCTATACTGTGGAAGATTCGGAAAGTTTAAAGGACCTCAACAGAACCAAACTTTCTTGGGAATGGCGATCCAACAATACTAACCCTTTGACCAACAGGACCTATGCTGAAGGAGACATGTTTCTACATAGTCGATATACTGGTGCAAGTCTAGACGTTAAATGCTTGGCCTTCATTCCATCTTTATTAGCTTTTGCTTTGTTTGGATTCTTCATTTGGTTCTTTGGACGATTCCAGAAAACCGATCAAGGCATGGAGAATCTTGACAAGTCATACACCCGCATGAAAAGGAAGTCACCCTCAGATGTAGGAATGACACGAGAGAACACACAGGTTTTAGCAGAAGAGCCATTAAGCCTAGAAGATCCACATTTGATATCTATCAAGTCAGACTTGAGTGAGATTGTATTTAACTCGTCCCTCCTAACATCGGAAAATCTTCATGCACATTTAAATGAACAACCAAGCCCACTGCAACCAACAAGGGAGAGCTCTGTACCTAAGAATAATCCATTAACCTAATGACACCCCACTTGGAAGGAATGAAAAATGAAATTATTGTGAGATTTCATTGTCGCTTTTGTTTGGTGAGTGACAGTTTACATAGTTTTTAGAACAGGAAAGAGACACAACCTATACCCCAACGGTGCTCAACATGCTTTTTTCTATGACTTTGTTTTCTATTTATATTATAATGACTTGTGCCTATTGTATTATATCAAACATTCCTTTATAGAGTGCTTCTATAAAAACTTGCAATAGTGTACTAGTTGAGTACTAGTAACAGGTATAAAATGTGGCTTTGGTTGTGCCTTGGAACATGAGATCACCTAACTATAGAAGCACGTCCCAGAATTTAAAAAGGTGTTTTTATATTTCAGCTCCCAGAATCCCTAAGCCAACATGACTAGAAACCAGTATTAGTTGTGGATTTTGAGAGGTGTAGTCCAATAATAACTTTACCAACTTTGAATAGACCTTCTCTAGGAGATTTTCTTTTCAACAGAATGACTTAGAATGTGGCAAGAGCATGTTTGGTTTACTGGTTGAACAATATAAGTATCATCCTAGATCTTTTTGTCACCTTTCTGAAAGTCTGGATAATAGAAACTGTGCAGTGGCACAATTGACTCTTTTTTGAGGAGTGAGAAGATGGAAAACAATAGAGCATCAGGTACATCATACATGGATTGATTTAGAAATTCATTAGATGGATGTGGCATCTCCATAAGAATTGTGTTAATGGCCAGTATGTCTGTGAAAGGTTTTTGGTAAGCACTGGCTGAGACAGACTGACTTTAATTTACTGATCTACACTTTGACAGCTGGACTTCAAAGAAGCATGTTGATTACTTTTTAATTTTGCTGGCTCATTTCCAGACACAAATCCAAATTCATAATGTAGTAACATCAGAGTGATAATGCAGCATGGGTCACTGGTTAGGAACATGTGACTTTCTCCTCAAGTAATTGCAATTAGGTGATAATGCCTAATTATGTTTTTCATAATTAGAGATAAATTGCTACCAGATTAAAAATCCTGCCCTTCACCTTTTTAGGAGCAAAAGGTTAAAATGCAGTGCTGGTGGAGCAGTCAAACTTTTCAGCTGAAGCCTAGGCAATGCCAAAGAAGCAATAATGGGAATGCACTCCGGATTAAAGTCCACCATCTGCAGTGTTTATGATGTGAATGGTGGATTGAGGTATATCTGTATAAGACTTGTACCATGTCATTGAGAGAATGGACTCTGGGCACAGGTTATAATGAGGGGAGTGAATGCATGAAATAGAATAGCAAATAATGTGCTGTTTTGTTACATTGAGGAATTAACACTGTGTCCACTAATTTAAAAAAATAAAAAATGAAAAATGGAGCCAAGAAGTGGTTGCATTTGTTTTCTTCTTATCTTGAAATTTAGCTTGGTCAGCTGGTTTTTGAAAATGAGTTGCATCCTGCACTTCCCAAGCAATCAGATGCCTCAAATCACATTCAGAAAATCAAAACAATAAGGAATAATATTAAAATAAAATTTATCTAAATTAGATTTCATATGTGTTGTATAATTATAGTATTGTAAACAAGTCTTCACATATTTCTGCCAATGCGTGCTAGATTTCCTGACAATGTGTGACACACTCACCTGCCAACACTTGCTTGTTAAGACTTGTTGGCAAATTTGGCCACTGTTTTTTTTTCATGTCAGGAGTTAGTCACTTCTGGTGTGAGAGAACTTGCCATCTGCAAGGACGTTGCCTGGGGATCCCCGGATGTTTTGATGTTTCACCATTCTTGTGAGAGATTTCTCTCATGTCCCCACATTGGGAGCTGGAGCTGACAGAAGGAGCTCAACCTGCTGTCCTTGGATTTGAACTTCTGCCCTGTTGGTCAGCGGTCCTGCCAGCATATGGGTTTAACCCATCATGCCACCAGGGGCTTGGCCACTGATGAATTATAACTTGCATGTTGTATGTTGATTTAGAAAATAAAGTAATCACTATGACTTTGAGGGAAGACTAAGCGAAGGAAGATAGATGCTTTTGAACTGTGGTGTTGGAGGAAAGTTCTGAGAGTGCCTTGGACAGCGAGAAGATCCAACCAGTCCATACTTCAAGAAATAAAGCCTGACTGCTCATTGGAGGGAAGAATAGTAGAGGCCAAGATGAAGTACTTTGGCCACATCATGAGAAGAAAGGAAAGCTTAGAGAAGAGTATGATGCTGGGGAAAATGGAAGGAAAAAGGAAGAGGGGCCGACCAAGGGCAAGATGGATGGATGACATCCTTGAAGTGACTGGATTGACCTTGAAGGAGCTGGGGGTGGTGACGGCCAACAGGGAGCTCTGGCGTGGACTGGTCCATGAAGTCACAAAGAGTCGGAAACGACTGAACGAATGAACAACAATGACTTTGAGGAAACATGTAAAATACAATTTTTCTTCTCTTCTTTCTTCATGTGCCCACCGCATCCTTATTTTTATTCAACGCTTCCCAATTGCACCTCAGGATACTACCTCCACTCTGGATCATTCCAGTGCCCCCCAGCCAGCTGTATGGCCCACTTTGGGAAGCACTGGTCTAGGAACTACTGTAACCCTGGTGTTTTCACAGTAATCTCCTGATACTTGCTTATTTTGTATTGACCTGCCTGCTTTTTCAAATGGCATTCCCTTCTAAAATTAGCTTGAATAATTGAACTATATATTTATTACTTCTCTTCCAAGAGTTAAGCTTAATAAACATCCAGTAACTGATAAACCAACAGCAAGAGCCAATTTTAGTTTCTGTAGCTCTGCTGTACTTTGATACCCAAGTTGCACATATTTGCTGCAGTATACGAGCTTGAAGCTCTTCCAGAACATCTTTGCAAATGCTGATGCAATGCCAGGGTTTGTAAATGATGCATTGGTGTTGTGATAGTTATGCTCCATTCTGAGTACTTTTTCTTGGCACAGAAAGTCTGGGCATCAGGCTGTTGGAATCATAAATATTACTGGCTCTTGAAAGAAGAAAAAACATGCAGAGACATCAGGATCACAGTAATACCAAGACTATCACACTTTGCCTACAGAATATTTAATATTTTATCAAGAGAAACTTTTGATCACACTTAATTCTTATCCCTTAGAAACCCTAGCCCTCATTAGTGTTTGGTAAGTGGAAACTTGTTCAAGCTATAGAAACTAGAATGTAAATGTGAAGGAAACTGTTGTAGCCTTATTAGAACATGGAGACGGATATATTTGCCCTGATGTAAGCAATTGTATTGGCTTTTCTTCTAGATGCTGTCAGGTGTATAGAATGGGGAAAGGTGCACATGTAGGTGACTGAATTCACTAGCACTCTTTCACTAGCACTCTTTCTTCTTTGCTGATCCCTAAAATGTCAACATCCTTTGGAAAAATCACTCTCTTTTGTTAATGTGTGGGGGATTTCATTAATTTGATTAAAGTCTAAAGAGAAAATGAAAAGCTGACTTGAGCTTTTTTTGCCCACATGATTACATGACCCCATGGCAATAGTCATTAAACAACATGTCCACATTTAAATATATTCCATGACCTTACATCAAGCTAATGCTTCCAAAGCCAACATAAGATGAGTACATAAAAGTCAAGTAGTAATCAGAACATCTAGTAATCCTGAGATTTTCCAGTTATTTTCCAAAATAACAGTCAGAGACAGTCAGTCTTCTGTATAAATAAGAAGACTTCTACAACTTATCTACAGCATCTCTATACCTGGGCCATTTCCAAACCATTATTCTAAATCATTTTACTGTATTCTAAGATGGGACTTGGATCTTAGTCTATCAAAGTAACAGTTCGGGGCTTTATTTTGGTGAATTTACCCTGTCGTCTAGTCTGAACTTCAAAGTGCCTACCCAAGGTGCTGAGAAAGGTAACATAGCTAACATGATGGCTGGTTTAGTGTTCTTTAGCTTTGTTCCAATTTTTATATATTAGTGGTTCATGGTATGTGTCATAATCTCTCCTAATTTTATTTTTGCTGAATGTGCTTCTCTATCTTCTGCTTACAATTATGTAGTCTATTTGAGTTCTATATTGGCTGTCAGGTGATGTCCGTATATGCAGTTGTTTATTGGGTTGTTTGTGGGTGTTTGTGATCAACAAACTGTTGGCCTCACAGAATTCAGTCAGTCAGTCCCCTGCTTCATTTCCTGATCCTATGTCACATCATTCTACAGTCTTTGATTCTGCACTGTTTCCTATTTTTGCATCCCAGTTGTCTGTGGTTAATAAGAAGTCCTGTTTCGCATGTGATTAATTTCCTCCTGGATTCCAGCATAGAATCTTTCCATTTTCCTTTCTTCTGCTTCTGTAATTGTAGCATAAACTTGGATTAGGGTTATATTGATGGACTTTCTGTGAAGTTTGATCAACATGATTCAGTCTAATGGATTACCATAGACCTGCTTCAAGCCATAGAGACAGGATGTACTCCAGTTTTAATTAAAACCTGCCAACAAACATGGAAAACAAAGTATGCTCTATAGATTGGAAACACTCAATATATATTCCAATCCCCAAGAAAGGGAACACCAAAGATTGCAGTAATCACAGGACCATTGCATTGATTTTCCACAGAATCAATGTGATTCTTAAATTTCCACAATAAAGATTTTTTTTATCACATACAGAGTAAGAAATACCAGATGTCTAAGCTGGGTTCAATAAAGGAAGAGGCACTAGGGATCATATTGCAAACTTATACTGTATAATTAAGCAGACCAAAGAACTTCAGAATTTCATCCTTTATGAATTACAGCAGTCTTTGATTTCATTTGATGAAAAGACATGGGTTGCTCTTAAAGAAATGGCTGTGCCATTGCTTGTTGTGATGTGTAATCTGTACCCTGGACAAAAAGCTAGTGTTAGGATAGAACATGGGCAAAAAAAGGAATTATTTCCAATTGGCAAGAGGGCCAGGCAGCATATTATCACCATGTCTCTTTAACTTTTATGCTAACATATTGTATTGTTGTACTTAGACCACATCATTTGAAGACATGGCTCACTGGGAAAGTCAGTAATGCCTGATAAGGTTGAAGGCAGCAGGAAAAGAGGAAAACTGCATTGCAGATGGCTAGATGAAATCAAGGAAACCATGGCCCTGAGGTGATGATAGGGCGAATTGAAGTTCTCTCATTTCTGAGATCATCATGAGTGAAAGTTGACTTGACTGCAGTTAGCAACAAATCCAAGGTTCTGGGCCCATTTGGGAAACAGTGTTTAGCATCTTCAACAGTCCCTTAAAGTTCAGGCTAAAATTAGAGCAGAGCACTGTCTTGTCCCATGCTCTCACCACTACCTCACATTGCCCCTGCATTTTTAATATGACCAATGTTGTTATTTGTCTCACCAACAGCTTTCTGTGTCCACTTTGCCTGATGATGCCTTCAAATGACAGCTTGTGTAAGTGCTGGATTAACAGAAGGCTGATCCTGTACAAGATACCACTTACCTATTTTATGTTTGCTGGTTTGTTTTTTTAATCCCTGGGATCAACAGAGCAACAGCCTTCTGTACTCTGCATATTTTCTGTCCTTAGGAAACCCTTGTCTGACTGTCACCAGCTATATACAGAAAGAGCTTTCTTTTTGGAAGGCTTTTTAAGGAGGCACAGACTCCAAGGTCCTGCTCATCTGGTTCTGTTCTTTTGATAATATGCAATGGTGGGGCAGCGAATAAAAGGTATCTTATCAGATTCCCGCAGGCTTCTCCACAGTTGGCTCCACTTCATGAGGTTGCTTGGCATGGGTATTGCTTCACTGCAGATGACATTCAACCCCCATTTCTTCTTCCCACTGATCTTTTTTATTATTTTTTATGCTTCCCTCTCGAGATCTCTTGTGAACCTGATTTCTTCTCCCCAGAATTGTTTTATCTTCATGTCTTTTACAACCAAACAGCTGCCTCTCAAAGCATAGCAGAAATTGCTCTTGAGTAAATTGGCACTCATCAAGCCAAACACGGATCTTATTGGTTTAGATGATTTTTATTTTTATCTAGGCTGGTAATATAGAAGGGTCTTTTTTTGGAAGCAGAAAATAACCAGCACTGAGAACTCCTGAATGCGTCTGACCCTCTAATTAGGGAGGGTGAGTAGTTGCCTTCGGTGTGGAAGGCCAGGAGGATAGTTTCCTCTGAGTTCACATAGTCAGTCATCAAACTGAATCACAGTGATCATCTATCCTCACCAAAGAACATCCTAAAATATCATGTAAAGCATATACTGTAACTGTAAACAGAGGATACATGTTGACAGGGAGAGGAATCAAATGAATGTTTTCTCACATACTTGCCTTTGCATCTCACAGAATCTTAAAAAGAGCCGACTTCAGGCAAAATTGCTAA